CATATATATCTAGAGAGGCATGATAAAAAGAGCAAGGCCTCTGCGGGAATCGAACCCACGACCTTTCCCTTACTAGGGGAACGCACTGCCATCTATGCTAAGAGGCCTTACAAGGATATATAAAGGATATAAAAGTAGTATAAGGGATATAGACATAGAATATAAAGGTGTCTATAATAATATAATAATATAATAATATAATAATATAATAATATAATAATATAATAAAGAAGTGAAGTAGTCATATAATAATAGTGAAGTAGTCTTATAATAATATATAGTGAAGAATTAAATCTGTCTTTTTAGTTTTAATTTTAATTTATTTCTTCATTTAATTATTAAATTATTTCTGAAAATTTAAGTCAAATACAAAATTCATATCTTTTTATTTCAAATTCACATAATATAAGAAGAAATGAAACAATAAATAATACAAATATATATGGATAATTATAAAATGTGAAAAATGTTGAATTGATATTAAATGAATTTGGTATATTTTAATTCTGTTATTTTATTCATTTCTAGTATATTCATTTCATAACATTCATACATTAATACCATCTAATATTTAGAGTATAAAATATTAAATATTTCACGAATGTGACAATAATTAATGAATTTATTTCAATTGAAATATAATTTCTGCTCATTATGTAGTTATTTTCACTCAACACTCACTTTCATTAATATTGTTATTTAATTCATTATTATTATAATCAATAAATTATACATCTTCTTGTTCTTTCATTTCTTCTTCTTTAAATAATCTCGTTACTTCTCTTCTTCTATTTCTTCTTTCTTATTCATTTTGGTTATTATTTCTTTTAATTCATTATCTTTCCATTGATGTTTTATTATTTCTTCTTCCATTATTCTATTGATTTCTCTTTTAATTTCATTATTATTTTAAATGCACTCTTTATTACTTCTTTATATTCATTAATACCATTTACTTTAATTCTAAATTCATGTATTAATCTTTTTATTAACTCTTATTATTGTTGACATTTTATGTTTTCTTTCAAATAATTTCAAAACAAAACATTTATAAAGTGTTAAAATTTCTTCTTCTCTGTCTGTTTGTTTCAATTGTTTTTTGCTTGTCTAATTCAAATGTGGTGTTCCTCTTATGCTGAATATCCATTTCTTCAATGGATTTCTGCGTTAACTTTCTTTTTTTTTGGAAGATCAT